TAGAAAGTGTTTGTGGACTTAGGCTAACGTAAGCGTAGAATACGATGAAATAAAAGTTGAAGTAGTTCAAATTGCGTGGCATCCGGGCCATGTGTTGGGTGAACATGTGTTGCTTTTCATTCGTTTGCTTTGCAATTAACGCACGTTGATGACTGTTTATTACTCGTCTAGAACATTTCGCCGCATGTTATTCACAAAAATTTGACTTTAAAGTGAAAGCCCGGTAACTTCTCGAGTGTATTGAGAAACCTTATTGCGAAATAGCTAAACAAGTTTCCCTAGGGGATGTGCGATTTACCAGTCGCATGACATCATTTAGTGCCCGTCTTTTTTTTGACCTCAGAAACCAAGGATTTTAGGCACGCAAATAGTCCGGTTCGTCCATCTGTGAACGGAGTGACAGTATAATCTGGATGCTCTCCACTCTTCCAAAACGGTCTTCATGCTTTAGGTGCATTACAGGAATAGCAAAAGACACTCATAAACTCTGAGAAAACATAGTTAGTTCAGGCACCCTCTAGTGTCGTGATGATGCATGTAAAGTACAAGCTTGTTAAATGTGTACTTCGTGGTTAATTGACCAAGAAAGGAAATACTCAAGAGAAGTTCCACCGATGGATCCTTACGAGAGACAGTGAGATCACTTCTGACATCGGTACTTTGTTTCCGAAAAACCATAAAGTTTATCTGATTATGCTCGAAATCCCAGAATAAAAATAAGGGAAAAGAATGGCTAAGAGAGGGGACCTGGTGCTGGTCTATCGCAGGTATTCTGAAATGCCCACACCTTCAAACACTTAATCAGACAATCTGAAGAGAAACTGACAACAAGAACGAGACGTAAACTAAACAGCAGTCATTTCCTACATTGCCTCCAGCCAAACGCAGGGGGATCACGTGATACCCATCCTGGGAGGCCTATTGCACCAAAAACACCCAGTCCATTTTTTAATCTCTTTTACATACTTCTGCCAAGTCACACGTTGCCCACCTCTCGGCTTACACGATTCTGAATGAGGCACAGAGAACAACGTCTCAGTATGCGGTGATTTTGAATGCATAGCACATGCCCCAGCCACCACATTCAATGATCCGAGGCTCAAGTACCTGACATAAGAGCGAATACCGGTTTGGTAACCAGACTGTTACGAGTTTGTTGACGCCATCCTATACCAGCAACTCACCAGAGACATCAGTGCTAAAAAATATGAAGAATGTTTGCATCATTTCTCCACATGAGTTACATCTCCCAAATACATCATAGTATAGTCCTTATGGTAGCCTAATATGCGCGATTTCCCAGACCCAATCATATACCTTTTTGACGTAACAATTGGTGCGGCATATCAAACGTAATTGTGGCCTCTGAGATTCATTCACTGACTTTATCACTCACATCCGTCAGAGCCAATACCACTACCGAGGTATGTGAAGCACGGTAAATCCCCAAATGATCCTCTTTGAATGTAATGGATGTGTTCGGAGACCTCGTATTCCTAAGCGTAGCTTTGCACTTTGAAGGTTCACCTCACATGTCAAAATATGGTATGACAGTAGTCAGTTTATTCAACACAGCTAATGCTTAGACTTCGTCTTCAAAAATTAGGGCGACGGTGCCTGAAAACTCCAGATCGCCCATAAATAACTATTCAAAAACCATGTTTTTGCAGACCTTTTAGCATAGCTGAATGTTTACACCAATTCCACTTTCCAAGAGCATCTTAGATACTTTACGTGCATCAGAATTTATTTGTTGGAGAGTGTCTACTAGGTGGGTCAACCAATCTGGTTTCTTTGTATTCTACGTCCTATGGTCAAACGTAGTCAGCCAATGGATCTGCCCCACCGAAGGCGAGGAACATGTCTACTTCTGTAAATGGTTTGAACGGTAGTTTGTAAAGCCTAACGCAGGGATCGTTAATTCCGTTAATGATGAACATGTTGTCTAAATATACCCTCCTGTTGCTGATTCCGTCTGCAGTTCTCATACTGGTGAGTCAAAATTCGTTTCAGTAGACGGCACACAGGTGACAGTAAACGTATACGAGTGTTGGGACCGTTTATTTTTGTCCTTCAAACTTCTCTTTATGTGGTGCTCCTGAGAAGGTGTCAAAAATATCACCAAGACAGAGATAGATGCCCACACGGAGCGTTAATCCAGGTGAAACAGTAGTCCACTGTCCCTTCAACTAGAATACTCAGACTATTGACTCACAGGTTTTGCACTTAAAGCAATGGAACATTTTCTGACAAGGATCGTCTTTCTGATATTTTTAGCGAAGACTCCTATGAAGACCACTCTCAGACAAGTACTTTTCCTATGTTTCTAGCCACCCTTTTCTATCAGAACACCACAGGCGAATTATCATTGACTCGTTGTGACACGCATAGTTCTCTGTTATGAAAATTTCTTGGATTACATTAATCATTTTCCCATGCTGATACTACAACCCTTAAAACTGGGAAAATCGCTGGCTTATCCTGCGTACGGTCAATTCAATGAAATGTTTTCTTCCAATAGCTTGGCACCATTACAATATCACAGACCAGGAGGCTTCGTGAAGGAATCGTGATTGTTCAGAATAACCCATATGAAGACAAACCTTAAGGTTATGTGTCTTATATCTGTCGTGTCATACATTATTAAACCTGCTGCGATAGGTCATTTCGGCAGAATAATTTCTTCTTGCCGGCTACTTAGGAGCTCGGGACAATCCATGTTCAAACTAGCCGTATGGCTGGAGGGGTTAAAGTATATGGTATGTTATGCAGAACGAAGATGGATGTGGTTAAAATAGCACAACCCCATTATCCCCTCTGGGTAAAGTAAACCACTGCTCACTACGTGCCCAGTGCAGTGGCTATCACGTGCTCAAATGACATAAATTTAGATCAGGTAATCCAACCGGGAGGCTTATTTCTGAGGATCCCAACCACAGGTATTTCGAAGCCCAATTCTAAGTTAAAATGTGGAACATCTGGCAATTGCAGGATTACACTTTTACTATAAAGCTAGGAAAAAGCACCGCTCAAATATTCGAATATTTAAATAATCTAGTGTATGTAGGTTAGATCATTTTGACTTTTATAAATGATTGCTTCAGCCAAATTCAAGTTTGATAACATCGGTTTTGCAGTAAACTGTTCGGAAATAACGGAGTTAAACTAATCACTCCAGTAGGCAAAGCTATGGTAAGACTGACGCGCTGGCACTTTACTTCCATTAGGCTCCTCAAGTAATCCATGCGTCGGCAGTACTCCCGATGGATAAAGATGCTCAGTCGCTAAGCTATGTGGCGTAGCCTTTGAAATAATCATACCCTATGTCGTTCGGTGCCGGAACACCAAAACAATCCCACATTTTGGAACCCAACATGCAGTTCGCCACATCGCTTTTTAAACATTCTCATTTTATCGAATGATTCATTTGAAAACAAACCACAGCGAGATGAATTTATTGTTTCACTCTGAATCGTTCAGTAGTTCTAACGAACATGTGTGAACCGGTCTTGAGTTCAAGTGCCAAGAATTATCAGCTTCTGTGAAAATCCAGTCTTTGGGGGACAGATTAGCTTGGTTTGGACGCAAACATGATGATTCCCTCCTCACAATTTTACAGAATTTTACAATGAACTTATCAGTAACCAATGTTAGTTGCGGATATCATACAGTACAGTTTGCATGTATTACATGAAAGCGTCTACATAATAACAAGTAATATTGCAAATAATGCTATTCCATCAATCAGATGGTAGTTAGACAAATGTGAAACAGGCAAGTCCATAGTGATATTCGGAATAAATGCTGTACAGCCACTGAAATCGTCCTTCGTAATACGGCCTATCAACTACAGTCTGCAATTTTTCACGGAATATAGCTTCTAACAGGTTGAGTGACACTTTGGTTGGAGGCCTCCGTATATATAACTGCTCCTAATGCACTCCATGAATCTCACTGATTGCTTTACAGATTAGTCAAGTATCTTGCTCAGGAAGTGCCACTTACTCTTAGAGTATCGCTCAAAGAGCTCTGACGTAAACGTCTTCTTCCTACAATCCAGACAAGGGTAATTCCGTGTGCTTAAAAACCAAAAGGTTAAGAGGATTTGTATCTTTAGCGTACAGTGTTTCAGAAGGCTTAGGTCAAATGCACTCCTCGGATTATCGTCAACCTAATTTCTACCTGTACACTGAAGCTTACATTTTGGGAGCAATGCGCTTATTTTTAAAAACCAAGTTGATGTTTACGGGAAACTCAGCTTAATCACAACTTATGTTCTTAAAAAGGGCATTCATCTGGCATTCAGCTGAGTCCACCGTAACCCACCACAAAGTTAGGATAGCAACCCACGTCTTTTTCCATCAGAGGACAGGTTTAGTGTCTGACCTACTACCTGAGTGCTACCAGACCCCGTGTCATTAGACAAATATACAATAATGCAATTTTGCACCTGATTGTCGTTGAGTGTTGAGACGAATACCCAAACACCGTAGCTTTTATGAAAACCATCTATATTTGTAATGCACTACTCATCATCACAAACGAGAGATTCCGCCTGGTTTCAGGTGAGTCTCGCGCAAAACCAAATTGGTTTGCAAATGAGCGTACTTCAGCTAACTCTAGTCTGACTTCTTCGGTACGGATAAGCAAATAAATGATAAAAAACTTAGCGAGAAAAGTACTCATTTACAAATCAATTTGGTTTTGCGAGAGGTTCACTTAAAACCAAAGTAAATCTTTCGTTTATCACTTTTCTAAGCAACTGAATATGCTGCACCAGGACACCTCATGTTTCAGTCGCTACAATATTCGAGATATCGCGATACATGTATAGATGTAATGCACCACTCATGAGGTTGTTGAAAATTCGTCGACAGCCCACGACCGGTTTCGCCCTTCTTGGGGCTCATTAGGTAGACACAGTCCTCGAGTTCCCGTCAAGCCGATATTCTATTCGCCATTCCTAACCGAGAATTATTGAGATTCTAATTCATGAATAAATGCCTAACAAAGCACATACGTGTATTTCTTTCATCACAAGCATGAATATGTGTTCAGCAGTCTTGATGAACCAAAAAAACCATCCGCTTTTCACACTCTTGATTCATCACCCCACTTATATGCATTATGTTTCCAATTAGAACCAAGCTTCCTAAAGGTTCTGTATAGTTGTTGTTTGAAGCTATCTTCAAAAGGTATGCTGTATAAGTTAAGTTAGGAGACACGTCTTAATTGAGAGAGGTACCGACCTAAACCAGCAGTCCTGGTTTTCTCTAAATTTGAGTACTTAGCAGGTAATTTGGCTAGAAATGCTCACTTCATGCGAGAATGGCGCTATTTCTTCTCTCAGAGCATCTTAAGACGCAGGCAATCTGCCATCTCCAAATGCTTGTTAAGGTATTTAGTTTCTATCCGGAGAGTTGTGGGATCAAATCTCCCCAGATATTCCCATTAGGAACAAAGTATCCAACTCCCAGCTTTTCATCAACTGTGGAATACTGGATGATCTTCTTGATGGCCCACCATCTCCAAGTTGTTTTGTCTTTTATTTTGGGCTTTATGGTTGACGACCTGGGCGCAACCTGTTGCGCACTTCCAGGTTGCCGAACTTCATAGTGTGACCTACTTATCCGTAGTATGGTACAACTTTCAAAACGTCAATTGTCCCACTCCAGAATAATATTGTGCTCCGTTGGTGGGGCGGGCTGACCTGAAATGCTCGCTTGAGATTAAACTATGTAGTGTTTGCACGCATCTCCATGCCTGTGCAAGCTCAGTCTCCAACTGTCGCGCTTGTACACTTGCGCAGTTTTAATCAATAGACAAACCGTAGATCACAGCTGTGCGAGCTCTCTATAGCTTCGGCTAAACCACTGGTCGCACTGGTATGTCAGATGTACCAAAGGATAATGATTATGCATAATTTGGTCGGAAATTTAAAAGTAATTAATTGTCACTACTGACCCCATTTGTCAGTTGTAACTAAGTAAATCGCGTCTATTTTTCATGACAGTTACCTTCATCGTTCTAGGTTTCCCTCGTAAAGCGCGATAAAATGAACGATAAGTTTCCCAATCGCGCTGCATGTAAACAAAGTCATTCTAAACAGTTTCATAGGAGTATGGATTCATTTAATCTAGTGATTACTATAGAAACTAAAATATTACATCATAAAACACAACCCAGCAATCGACTGAGATTTTCTAACTTGAGGAGATGTTTCACACTTCCTAATTCGGAGTTTCTTTTTGCTGAATTAGCCTGAGAGCAAGTGTTATAACTTCACCCCCCTCTCTCTCTGAGAATCATCAACGTTGCACTTCTCACGAACTACAATATTCTGTACGCTGGTCCGATTCCCTATTATTCTCATTTGAGTCATCATGATCATCATCGACAGCATAACATCTGTTTTCAACATCGATGCTCCTCATACAAGTAATGGTTGATTATCTTCCAGTCTATTTCACTCGCCAGAGAAATTGTGTTTGGTTTTCGTTTTTGAGCAACTCACCCGTAGTTTATGGAGGTGAGGAGATTTTGAATAGTATCTCACGAATCCAGTTCAGTTTCACAAACATACATGTAGAATTTGAATAATAACTTTTAGTTGTTGATCATAAATTGAAATTATTCGAGTTTTACGGTTACTTGTATGTGCTCTGTTTCCCATACCTCCTTTGTAATTCTTGATGACGTGGAAAAATTTGGTCGTGTGCGAGGTGACAGTGGAAGTTCATAATGTATCTTAACCATAAAGTATGAGTGTCTTCTGCATAGGTTTTTATGAAACCGATCAGATTTGTCAACATTTTCCAGAGATATAGAGTCAAGCTAATGAGAACCGCTTTGCATATCTGTGACACTCTACGGTCATCGAACTGGTCACGGGACTTCCGTATTCTCCTCAGTCTACGGTCCGTATTTTGTTCTTTACAGCTTGTCGGGTCCTGGTACATGAGAAACTATGATGTATCAAACATCCAGTTTGTCTGTTTGAATAGCAACAACTCGTCAGTGGGACTTCTCGCCTCAAACATGCACAGCCAGGACACTATCCACATTACGCAGTTTCTCAAAGGCACAAAGTCCGCAGCGCGGTCGGTCACGATGCTGAAAAGTCTCTTGTATTTCCAGAACCGTCTTCGTTCAGAAAGCCAGGAATGCCTACGGTATGAACCCTTTCAAGCCAACGCATGCAACACAGAAGTACATCCAATGAAGAACCCGATACATGTCCATTTTGTTGCAGACCATGAACTGTGGCCGCTGCTAAAATCCCAATTGCACAGTTGTAAACTAGCCTATCTGACGTGCTCTTTCTACAATCTGGAGAACTATTATGTGAGTAGTAACCGCAAACGATAGATTTTTCTTACTGTTATGCGACAGCATATCCTGGATCTGAACCAATAAGTGTAGTTTAGCCGTGCTTAAGTCGTATTCCAGGAATTCATGAAGGCTGTGTTCAAGGTTAACGAATAGCTGTCAGGGTTTCATTCCGCTCCAGATGATGGCTGCGTAGTCAATGGCTCGTTCGTTGATACAAATCTAACACCGTCATAATTAATTCGTTTCTCTCATAAGTTGGGGCTTCATCATTATGTGTCTCTCTGGTTCGGGGAGTCTGTCATCCGGAAATGACGGAATGATCTGGAAATGGAATCCACTGTGCTATCCGAAATACGAAAGAGTCCGGTCGAATGTACTGTCACGTATTAATCTCTTTTGAATGTAGATGAGATGGCCTTTGATTTGCTCGCCAAATTTGGCAGTTCGCTTGCGGCAGCAGCGACAATAGTTTGCAAGCAAAAGCGCCACAAACGTAACAACCATTCAACGCACCCAGGCTACCAGCATTCAGATATGTTGCCAATGATTCTGTTTAGATGCAGTATTTAACGATGCTACGTGACAGAGTAGCCCGCACACTCGGTAGCGGACTACGTGATTGCTAAATTCTTGATTTTGAAGAATCTAATACTTCGATAACCATATGCGAAAATGTGCTGCTGCACCCCACGGAGCCATCTTCCCACTACCTCGTGGTTTTTGCGCAATATGCAACTTTTTTGCCGGATTCTTAAGGTTTGCTGCACAAGATACCCGCGTAACAACTTCATCCTGAGATGTTAATCAATTTTGTGTGGCGTTTTCATCACTGAGGACCGTGCAGCGCTTACTGGTCCTTATTTACACTGGTTAGTCGTTCTAATCGAGGATCATAGGTGACACCTATTCTTAGGTGAACACCAAATATATACAGTGTGGATCGACCTGCAGTCCTCTGACTTGACATCCACACGACAAACTCTGAGCAGTTACCAAGCTAAGGGCGATAAATCTTAATTTATGAAGTCAGTCATGCTCACATCGTACAAACCAATCTCATATGTTGCCCATCACAAGTCAATTAGGATCAAATAACAATAAATCCAGAAAGGAAACTACTCACAAGGTTGCTGAAAACCCTTCGACAGACCATCACCGGTTTTGCCCTTCTTGGGTCTCATCAGGTAGGCGCAGTCCCTGAGTTCCCGTCAAACTTCTGTTCTACTTGAACAGTAAGGGGTGTCTGACGCGTGTTCATCTAGCCTGCTCGCCTGCGCAGCAAACAGGACCTCGTTGCGCCTGACTGGTTTGTGTAAATATGAATTTATTGTTTCCGAGAAATACACTCATTTGCAAATCAATTTGTCTTAAGGGGAACC